ATAAAAAGGGTAAATAAATATTATATTTTTGGGACATTAAAATTAAGTGATTATAGACAGGATGTGATTATAAACAGAGTGATTATAGACAGGTCTGACTGTATATTGTATCAAATATATTTTTTGTAGAATATAGAAATGTATTATAGATAAAAAAGTGAGATCTAAAGTCCTACTTGGATAAAATACATTTTAAATAAATTGTGTTCTATATAAAAGTTATTATTGAATATGCAATCTAAACTTAATTTATTGAAATAATGCATTATCGAGCTTCTGGCCAAAAATATTAAGATTAAAACTGAAAATGCCAAGGTTAAAGCTGAAAACGCTAAGGTAAAGCAGACAATGAAAATGAAACCAGACTTGTAAAACTAGAACAGAATGATAAAGAAAAAGTTAAACTTATTGCAGAACTGAAAAAATCAAGCAGAAGCAAGTTGTTGCCATTGCAACACAGCCTAATACATCTAATAAACTGTTAGACTAATAAATTCTTAGTTTCAGTAAGTAAGAAAAAGGTAAGTGATATGATAAGACAGGAAAATAGGGAGAAGAAGCTTTTGCATAAGTCAACACTTTCATGTTGAGATCAGGACGAGCATTTAATTTCTTAAAATACTTCTTATATATCCCTTAAAGATTCTAATGATTCTGTGGAAGCTGAAATTAACATAAACAATTTACAATTATCAAGAGAAACGATACTAGATATATTATCTCAAATATTATCCAAAAAAACAAAAGTTTCCTACAATTATATAATAGTCTAAGATTTTATATAAGAAGTGTCTTCAGAGTTGATTGATGAAGATAATGTCCAAGTTATTGATGGAAATCAAGAGCTTATGACTGATATGATAATAAAAGTTGAGCTTACTTATTTATTTCTAAATGTAAGTATTAAAGAGAAGAACACTATATAGGCTAAACAAAAAGAGATTTTATATTGTCACTTATATGAGAAAAAGTTTGAAGAAAGCATTTAAGAAATTATTGCCAGAGATAATGTTTCAGACTAGACAACAAGAAAACAATTATTTCAGGATATAATAAAGCATCTTTCTAGAATAACATTAGAAATCTTACGTAAAAGAACCTAAAGGGTCATAAAGATTTACAAACTATTCGAAAAGATAGGAGTAGATAGAATTAAGAATATCAAGTCTTACAGCTTGAATTTTATTTCAAAGTTTACTAAGCCTCAAATCCAATTATTCTAGATTATTTTAGCAGATCTGGTTATACTGATATGAAGCTAAAAAAGCCTAACTCATATTCTGAATGTAAAATGTAGAAAAAGTGAAACTAAAGTTACACTTGAGAAAAGCCATAAATCTATTCTAAAAAAATTACCAGATGTAGTATCAGAGCTACCTGCCAAAGCGAGTATACTAAAAATCTCTCAACCTAAAAAGAACATGCTGGTCATCCCATATGATACTCATACTCCTTACATCAGTGTGATTTTAAAAGAATATCCCTATCTATTTTTGTATAATAGTGACAAACATAATGATGCATATGAATTAAAATTTAGGCTTATGTTTTATATGTGAAAAAGAGCATAGCAATGAGAAGGTAGTTGGACAATGCATAAAGGATTTTTACTACATTAAGTGTTAGTTCTTATCAAATGAAAAAAAAATCAAGATAAATGTTTTATCAGAAATGATTTCATCAGACATGTTTCAAGCAAATATACCATCTACATCTCAATCTAAGCTAACTTATGACTGATCATATTTTTGCAAAAAGATATTAGATCAATATTCTAATCTATATAGAGAATGTAATAGTAAAAATTTTGATTATTATAGAATTACTAATGAAACATCATGCAGGGGTCCCAAAGGGATCACATCTGCTTATTATATAAATTAGATCATGAAAATGAAAAAATAGAAGGCAGATATAAAGCTAAAACTTATTTTATTAAATATGAACAACATGAAATTGAGATAACTGCATAGTCCTTCTTACTCTATGAGCACAGAATATGATCTAATTATTTTTTTTGGAAGTATAATAAGAAATATTAGATAGCTTTCTATCTAAAAATTTTTAATCTTTTTTCAAATTGACAGAAAAAAGAATTTAAATTATTTGCAGTCATATAAAAAGGAAAATAACTAAGTCTGATAAAATACAAATCCCCAAATATTTGGATTAGCATGCTAATTAAGTGGGTTATCAAGCATTTTAACAGATAAGATTCATTTCAATTTATACAAAAGATATAAAAAAGAAATTGGAAATGAGCTATAGTAATTATCAGAAGCTGTGATAAATCCATCAGCAAAGTCTCAGATTTCTGATTTCAAGCCTATCACTTTAGAAGCCAGATTCAATTCAGAATTAATTATCAAATCCGTTTTAAAGCACTTCTTATACTTGAAATTCAGAAATAATTTTAGAGGAATTGATAATTATAATTTTATATCACTTTAGCTATGAAGCTTATCATACTCTATTTGCAATAAAAAATATGGGAATTATGGATTATATTGGCTTATAATACTGCAAAAATAGGAATCAGTTCCCTTATGATTCTGAATTAGTAAAGTTGTATTTCTAAGATAAGTTAGAATATTGTTTTACCTGTAATACTTTAAGAATAAACTCAAGTTTACGATCATAGTATAAGGGACAAAAATTTCATTATGTGAGATTGATTACCTGAAACTAGAAACTCATAAAATTTTTGAAAGTAATTTTTCAAAAGATATTTAAATTTTTTGCCTAAATCAGCCTCATTTAAATAATAAGTCATGTGTAAATAGTATAATTAGTTTGTAATCATATAAATTAAATATAATTAGATATTAATTATATCAAAATCAACTCAATATGTTATGTGTGCTGTGGTTAATCTGTAATAAATTCTTTTCTTTTATAATAAAATCGCTTTAATGGATACAATAATAGGACCTGATACTTTTAATACATTCTATTTCACACTTTTCATGTTTATTATATCAGAAAAGCTTGCAAGATCATCTGCATACCTTTTAAATGCTGTAAATGTACAACTAAAATTGACTCAATTTTTTTGTTTAAAAGTTAAGTTTTACAAAATTATGCAGAGTTTAGGATATGCCTTAACTCTATATTATAGTATAATATTTATCTTCATATCAAGCCTCTCACTGAAGCTATTAAAATTGTGAGGAAGTATGTCAATTCTACACAAATGAATATCCTACTGGAAGAAGATAAACCTGTTATAGTAGATTATAAAGAAACTGAAAAGGATAATGCATATATTTCATATAATAATAAATATAATCATAGTACAAATAGTTGTGATAAGTGTATGATTTTTAACATTTTTTTAATATATAGTATCTTCATATGGACTTAGTAGTTTTAGAATATATCATTCTAACTTTTTATTATATAATAATACTATAGATTATAATCATTCTATGTTAAAATACATTGGAAATATAATAACTAGTGATGATCAGAAAAAAACTTATGATTTCTATTTTTTTATGAAGCATATTATTAAGAATTTTAAATAAAATGATTATATTGTGCTTTTGTAACAGAAATCCATTAGAAAATTATTATTACCTTGTTTTGATAAAGATAAAGATAATTGTAATTATTTTGATAATAAGAAACTGGTATAATAAGATAAGTTTTGAAGGAATTTGTTGAAACTACAGTAAAACTTGAAATTTAATTCTATAGCAGTTAATTATAGTTAATAAAAAACTTGATTAATCATGAGATAAATACGTGTAAGCATATTATATGCTTTTTCATTTGTTTTTTGATAGTGAAACTTGAGAAGAGATGAAGAGAATGGTGTTGAATAAAGTGATATTATTAAAACTAATTGCCTAAAACTACCTCAGACCAATTATTTACTTAAGAATTGCATAGAATTAGAACAGCAACAGTTGCAATTAGCAGAACACTAATTTATATCAGCTGGGATAACCAAATTGTTAGATAGTAATGAATCTCTATTAGTTGCAATTAACATCCTCATTAATGCTATTAAGGTTTGAATAAAAGAGATAATTAAGAAAAAAAATAATATATAGCTATATTTTAAATGTTCGAGAAGCAAAAATAATGTAAGAAAATTTTTTATGAAAAAAAATTTAATAATAATATAATAATAATAAAATTTAGATAAAATATAAAGAAAATATAGAAAAAAATTGGCTAATACTCCTAGTAGCTAAAAAAATTTTTTTTACAATATATTTACAAATATTATTATTTTTGTATCATTTATTTTTATTTCATAAATAAAATATTATTATATTATTATATTGATATACAATTTTATTGTAAAGCAATAGAAAGGAAAAACAACCTTAAAAAGTATTATACATTTATAATAGATCATGATAGGCTAATTGGTAAAGCTAGTTTTTCTAGAATACCATTTAAGTATTAGATAACTAGATGGTCTTATGAAAAATGAGCATAGGCAGATAGTTACCTAAAATACATAGTATGATATTAGAAAAATTCTTGTTGATTTGATTCAGGCTTATTCTATTTACAAAAAATATATCATGTGCAGTAAGTACAGAGGGTGAATAGAAGTATCTGCACACTTTCTATAACGTGAATTAATGCTAGTAAAGTCATATGACCGCAATAACAAATTACGTTTACATGACACTTTAAGTGTTAATATTATAAAAATAAAAAGAATAACAATTTATTTTTTTTTTTAATAAATTTTTTTTCTCTGAAAATCTAAAAAAATGGTAAAAACTAAAGAATTAACTGCAATGATTTTTCAAGCGAAAAACAATCTTCATATATTATCTTGGCCAGCTCAAAGTCCTGATCTTAATCCAATTGAGAATCTTTGGGCTGAAATTAAGAAAAGCATCTGAGCTTATAAAAAAACCTCTATCTAATTTGACTAATATGTTAAAAAGGCTTAGTAAGAAATTCTGAAGCATACTATTGAAATCTAGTCGATAATATACCGCAACAAATTTAAGCTATGATTGCGGTAAATGGTAGCATAACTAATACTAGTTACTTAGTACAAAATGTAGATCTTAATCAGTTTTAAATAAAATATTAATTGACCGTTTATTGTTAATGCAAAAAAATTATAAGTTTTATATTGAGTGAAAAAGTGTGCAGATACTTTTGTCCATCCTCTGTATATTAAGTTTATTAGTTATATTAGATCAGTAAATCCTACTTCTATTGGTTAAAAGTGAGAAGAGTTTTCATAATTATTATATAACACAGCATGTATTGGTAGTTAGATCTCAAACTTTTTGTATTTATTTTTTTTTTAATTATATATTATCAAAAAAATTATGCTAATCAATTATTTAATTAGATCATATAATAAAAAGCAAAATCTATTATATATTTATTGGTTGCAATTTACAAATATTTATGATTATCATATGATATAGTAATGTTATACTTATTTTCTGGCTTGGCTTATTAATTTATCCTTTATTATAGTACTATAAGTATAAATAAATTAGTATAGACTCTTTTTTCGCCTTAATAGTCATTTCAAGAATTAATCATATTGCTTATAATAAATTTAGGTTATAAAATATCTCACCATTTTTTTTTTAAATTCTTTCAAAGAGCTATACCTTGTTTGGCTTGTAAATAAGGAATTATAAATTCACATATAATATTTTGATGTAGTTATATTTTTTATATTAGATGTTATTATACAACTTTAATTCACTCTGAACAATATTCAGAGTGTTAAGAAAATATTATAAAACAGCTTGAATAACTCAGCTTTAAAAATATACATAGAGAAGAAAAATTGTTAGCTTTTTTATGTCTTATTATATGTATAATCTATCTATATGTCATACTTTTTTTTAATAGGAACTCTTAGTATGTAGTCTCATAACTGATATGAGATTATATTAGATAAATTTGTAGATATTTTATTAGTTCTTTCTTTAGTAGTTTTTAATATATGTGATTTTTTTTCTCATAATTGATAAATAGAAACATAATAGATAAATTTATAGTGAATGGAGGAATAACAAATCTTATATGTCAAAATTTCATTTATCTAAACATTTAAGTATTTAGTTTTTTTGGCTTAGTTAGCAAATTTATAATAAAAATACTTTTTATTTTTTAATAGTTCTGCCTAATATTTTTAATCAATAAATCTGTTGTAATATTAATAAAATAATTTTTGCAGTCCCAAAGGACTTATTTATATCAGATTTTTCTCCTTTTTAACTTGGTAGACTTTGAATTTATTTTTTATTATACAATTACATTTTGTATACTATTCTATTATACCTATAATGTACATATTTGCATTTATAAAAAATAATAGCTAAAATAATGATTATTAATGCTTATTTTTACACTTATAATACATTTAATGAAAAGTAGAATCCTACTTGTTTAAACTGATTGTCTTAGAATCATAATCTACTAGTGATTATTAATGTTTACATTAATTACGTTCATATTTTGAGAAAAAGAGGAAAGTATAAGAGTAGCAAATGATGGTATTACAAGACCTTATTTATTGCTATACTTTTCTTCTAATTTTAATTGATTTAGATAT